AGGCAAGAATGTATAATGGAACGATGACAGTCTCTTCAAAAACGGTGTTGGAAAAACTGGACAGTTACATGCAAAAAAATGAAGCTAGACTACTTTCTTTCACCACACGCATAAACTCAAAATGGATTAAGGATCTAAATCTAACTGCATGGACCCCTACCCCCAATGCCTTCTGAGTGAGGACCAGCCCCTCCACTCGTGCATTCCGATTCACTGCCATCCAAGCAAGGAAGGACCTTGTTTTAGTAACTGTTCTCTCTCTGTCCAGCTGTCTGGCATCTCTCCTGCACCCTTCCTACTGAATCATCCCCACCCCCATTCAAATATCACCCGATCTTCAGAAATCTCCTTCCAACTTCCAACCCACCTGTCACCTCCCTTTTCTCTCTTCCCTTTGTAGCAAAAATCCTCAAAAGTTGTCTTTACTCAAAACCCCCGTTTCTTCTCCCAGGTTCTGAAACCCACTCTCCAATCCCATTTTTATCCGCCTTTTGTGAAACCTAGTGGTTATTTCCCAGCCCTCACCTTACCAGATCCCTCCGCCGCATTCACCATGGTTACTCTCGAGATCCTTGAGATAATTTCTTAGCCCCTAAAATCTGTCTGGGTTCCTCAACTTTCTCAGTTTCCTTCGGGGGTTTCTTCTCATTTCCCTGATCTCTATGAATGTGCTCCAGGACTTGTCCTCAGATGTCTCCCCTCTCTATACTCAATCCTTGGGGACTTCAGCCATTTTCCTACCATCGATCTGCTGATGACTCCACCCTTCTCCCTCCGATCCAGACCTGGTTCTTGAACTCTCTTCAATTGTCTGCTTTCCAGATCCACTTAGATGTGTTAAACCCAACATGTTCAAATCCAAGCCCTTATTTTCCTCCAACTCTGCTACACTTGCAGTAGCTCCAACAGACAACTATAGAGTCATTCTGGATTCGTCTCTTTCTCTCACTGCCCATATTCAATTCTTTGGTCAAAGCTGTGGGTTCTACCTTCAAAACATATTCACAATCTGACTGGTTCTAATCACCTCTATCACTTCTAATCTGGCCGCAAACACTCCCTTCTATAGTCTGGGCATTTGTCACGGTGTTCTCTCTGGCCTTCCGGATTCCATTCCTGCTCTGTTCTAGTTTATTTTCCACTCAGCCGTTAGAGCGATCCGTTGAACACCCGAGTCAGATCTTGTTATTTCTCTGCTCTAAGGTCTCCAGTGGCTCCCCACTTCGCTCAGAATAAAATCCAGCCTTACAGAATGGGGCACTCAACTTCCTTTTCAATTCATCTCCTACCAAGTCACTCAGCTCTCTGTGCCTCAGCTACGCCAGCCTCCTTGGTTCTATAGAGTACAATGGGTGTGTGCCTGCCCCAGGGGCTTTCCACTTGTTTCCTCTTCCTAAATGCACTTGGCTTGTGCTCTTAACCCATTCAAGGATTCTTATCTCAGTAACTTCCCTTGACCACACATACAAGCAGCATCACCACCACCACCATCCCCGTCACCACCAACGTAATGTCTGTCCCCCTACTTTTTACTTCTTGTCAACAGCTGACATATTGCATATTTATTGTTTTCTTTTTCTCTTCTCTCTACTTGAGTATAGATGTAATAAAAGCAAGGTACTTGTGTTTTTTTTCTTTTCTGATTTATTCTCAGTGCCTAGAAGAGGATTCGGCACATAATAAGTATTCAGTACGTATTTGTTGAATGAATGAGTGAATGAATGAACGAATCGATCAACCAATCAATGAAGGGTATCTCAATCCCAACAAGAGAGATTTTTCCCAAAAGTTTTCTATAGCTTTGTCCTACTTTGTTCTCCCTCTCTGCATGTCTCTTTGACTAGTAGATACATTCATCAAAAAAAAAAAAAAATCATTTTGAGCAAGATTGGATCCTTAAGTTTCTATGTCAGATATGACTCAAATGTCATGCTGTGCCATGCACATTTGTCTCCAGCATTCTCCCCCATATGTCGATCATGGTTCAGCAGCTG